TGAAGCAATCCAGTTTGGGGGCAGGAGATGGAAATGAGGTAAAAATGAAACAGAATTGGCCATTTGTTAATCATTGCTGAAGGTGGGTGATGGGTATATGTTCATTATATTATTATTTCTAACTTTTTGTATTTTTTTAATTTCCATAATCAAAAGATTGTGTTTTTTAAAATGTTTGTTTCATTGATTGGTCAATAGCATTAGAAAGAGAATTTCTGGCCAGGCGCGGTGGCTCAAGCCTGTAATCCCAGCACTTTGGGAGGCCGAGACAGGCGGATCACGAGGTCAGGGAATCAGGTGAAACCCCGTCTCTACTAAAAAATACATAAAACTAGCTGGGCGAGGTGGCGGGCGCCTGTAGTCCCAGCTACTCGGGAGGCTGAGACAGGAGAATGGTGTAAATCCGGGAGGCAGAGCTTGCAGTGAACTGAGATCCGGCCACTGCACCCTAGCCTGGGCAACAGAGCGAGACTCTGTCTCAAAAAAAAAAAAAAAAAAAGAAAGAGAATTTCTGCAACAACAATGGTGATACAAATGGAATACATATGTATCAAGGCCACTTCTGTAGCCCAAAAAAGTTAAGAGCACAGCCTTCGGTATTAGGCAGGCTTGAGTACAAATTGTCTTAGGCCCTCCATATTAGGCAGGCTTGAGTACAAACTGTCTTAGGCCCTCGATATTAGGCAGGCTTGAGTACAAACTGTCTTAGGCCCTCGATATTAGGCAGGCTTGAGTACAAACTGTCTTAGGCCCTCGATATTAGGCAGGCTTGAGTACAAACTGTCTTAGGCCCTCGATATTAGGCAGGCTTGAGTACAACTTGTCTTAGGCCCTCGATATTAGGCAGGCTTGAGTACAAATTGTCTTAAGCTTAGGGACCTCAGGTCAGCTATTCGACGCCACTGAAACTCCATTTTTCTTTATAAATAAGGGCATTAATAACTATCTCAAAAGGTTGTAGTAAAGATTAATGAGTGTAAAACACAGGGCCTAGCACCTGATAGCACTCAATAAAAAGCGGGCATCATTGTCATTCAGTGATACACACACTTGTCAAGCTCCAGCCAACACAGCCTGATGGTGACAGCCCAACACCCTTCCACTGCAGCTGAGATTTCAGTTAATCAGCTTGGGCACCAGACAACTGCTTGGCAGAGGACTTGATAGAACAGATGTCAGGAGTTGTGTTCCGGATACCCAGAACAGAAAACAGATAAGACCATAGCAAAGGACAAAGCCTATAGCTCCTGACCTTACTCAACAGGTCCCCAAAGAGGCTAAATTCCACATCTCAAGGAGGCAATCGAGAAACAAGAGTGATGAAGTCCTTACGAAAGTGGTTTGAAACTTTGATCAAACATTGGCATCACCTGGGGAGCTCGAAAAACCACAATGTCTGTGTCCCACTCCCAGATTTTGATTTAATGGTCTGGGATATGGCCTAGGTTTCAAGACCTTTAAAAGTCTAACATGATCTAATGCACAGCTTTAGTGTCGCTGCTGTAAAAGAAAGCTGAGCCACTCCTGTGTGTGAGTTGGGGCTGGAGGTAGGGAGGGAAGAGGACAAGGGAAAACAAAGGGAAAGAACAGAGGCCAGCGAGTCCCACATGAAGCCCATTAAAGCCAAGTCAGTCATGTGGTCTCAAGCTGTGTCCCATGCCAGACAAATCCAATCCCATTAAAGTCCCATCACTCCCCACATAAGCTTCAAGAGAGGGTTATTGTGTAATCATTCACAGGGCTAAAATATGTGACTAATACCGGGATGCGTGCATATCAATATTCTAAGGAATATTAAAGCAATGTCGTTTATCTCTGGGTTTTGGTCTTGGGGGAAAAAAAAAATGCCCAGCTAAGTGATGGAGGTTGGAGAAAGGAGAAAACATCCATCTCCTGGCATTTTGGCAGCCTGTCAATGTGACTGAAGCACACTCAAAGAGGCAGCCTTATTTTGTGACGTTATTGCAGTGTCTTTGATCAGCGGGAAAAGCACATCCATTTCAATCACTGTAGCTGGGATGGACCTGCTGCCTGGCTGTCTGGCTGCCCACCAGGGTGAGCTAGCCTTCAGCCTATAGACACATGGCAGTGCTTAGCATGTCAAACAAATGAGGGGGTTCTTAACTATCTACACAACTCTTGCGGAACGTCAGGGACTCTCTCGTTTACCAATTTAGCCTGGACTAATCTGGAAGTTCCTTTCCCCCAGTAAACACCACCTGGTCTGGCCTGGCCTCATCAAAACAAAAGCTGGCCAGTGGGCTGTCTGTCATGAGGTAGCCATCACTTCAGAATCAGGAGGGCAGGGATCAACCGTTCCTATAAGCGACACACTCAGGATTACACAAGCCTGGAGAAAGAAAAAGCCAATGGCAACGAACTCCACTCTCCTCCTTTACCTTCACCCTGTCTCAGCCCCAAACTGATTTGAGAGAAGTCTGATTCCTCCATGCAGACATGAATTCTTAGCAATGCAGTTTTAAATCTATGCAAAGATCACCCACATTCTTTTTACCAGAATAAACAGTTTTTTAAAAATTGATGGAAGAGTTCATCCATTTTCCAACTTGGGGATTTTCAACAGAAGCTTTGGTGGGTTTTTTTCTTTTTTCTCTTTTTTTGCTCTGCCTCCCGGGTTCACGCCATTCTTCTGCCTCAGCCTCCCGAGTAGCTGGGACTACGGGCACCTGCCACCACGCCTGGCTAATTTTTTTGTATTTTTTAGTAGAGAGGGGGTTTTACCGTGTTAGCCAGGATGGTCTCGATCTCCTGACCTCGTGATCCACCCACCTTGACCTCCCAAAGTGCTGGGATTACAGGCGTGAGCCACCGCGCCCGGCTGGGTTTTTTTTCTTAAGTGGCATAGTGGTATCGACACGATAGAAAGATATGAGTAGTAGAACTACAGTAGAGATGGGAATAATGATGATGATAATGACAAAACTTTATATATTATTTATGTGTTCCAAGTGTTTCATGTGTGTTAACTGATTTTATCTTCATCACAACCTAATGAAGGAAGTTATAATAATGATCATTAACAATAGTAATTATAGGAATATATAATATGTAACAATTATTATGACATATAATAATAATGAACAACAGAAAAGCAATCATAATAATCAATCTCCACTTTTCAGATAAGACACCCAGAGAAGCTCAGGGACTTACCTGAAGGGTGGGGGCTGAGCTTCGTGCCAGGTGTCCAGCTCCAGGAACAGCACGCTAACCAGAGCACCAGACTGCCTCCTTCCAGAGCACACCTCAGAGCCTCCTTTAAAGCTGCCAGCTCAGAAAGCCGGCAGAGTATAGAGGGCTTCCGAGGGCTCTGGACTTAGGAATTCGTGAGTCTGAACTCCAGCTCTGCCACTCCACATCCCACACCTGTTGCATCCTCTATAAATGGGGATAATGACACCTACCTCACAGGCTTGTGGTAAGGTTTAAATGACAAAATGAATCAAAAGCACCTCTCCCAGGGTCAGCAACGAAAGTCGGTTTAACCCGGTGACTATCAAGCCTGGCTACCTATTTGAATCAACCAGAAAACTTTTTAAATGCTGATATCCAATCCCCAACCTCCTTATCCCTCTACATTTCTACCTCAACAGAAAGTTAGTCTCAAATCAGTAATCCACTGTGTCCCACCTGGATATGAAACCTGAAGCCCCTCAGACCAAAGACCAGCCTATACACCCTTTGCCACATTGATCGAGAATTACAGGCAAGCTTCTAAATCCCTGAAGCCTCTGCCCCTGGCTCTAAGACAGCAGGAATCCCCCCAAATGTTGTTTGATTGGACAAAGGAAGTTGCAGGTGCCAGGACCATTCCCAACAACTTGGCTAAGCTCACCCTTGTCCAGTGACCTTCCCCACATTCATCAGGACAGCACCTTCACCCAGCTGGCACCATATCTGACTCTCACAGAAGCTTCCCACCTCCCACCTCAGCCACAAGCCCCTGCATAGGAGGAAGCAGCCCAGAGGCTTTCCTGAGAAGCACCTTTCTGTCCCACCGTTGCCTGTGTTTTAGAAATAGTCTGTGCCAAGGCCAGGTGTGATGGCTCACACTATAATCCTAGCACTTTTGGAGGCTGAAGCAGGAGGATCACTTGAGGGCAGGACCTCGAGACCAATCTGGGCAATGCAGCAAGATCCCTGTCTCTAAAAAATATTTTTAAAATAAGCTGGGTGTGGTGACGTGTGCCTATAGTCCCAGCTATTCAGGAGACCTGGGTGGAAGGATAGCTTGATCCCAGGAATTCAAGGCTGCGATGAGCTATGATTGTGCCACTGCACTCCAGCCTGGAGTGAGACCCTATCTGCAACAGAGTGAGACCCTGTCTTGAAAAAAAGAAAAGAAAAAAGAAATAGTCTGTGCCAAGATCAACACAGTCAGCATTACTTTGACAATACACTAACCAGAAGACCATCCAAGATGAGAGGTAGGACTGCCTGACTTAGGTTTTAAAATCTTAGTATATGCATACCTGTATGTGTATATACACACACACACTCACACACTCCAAGAACCATAGTACACTTTGTGCTCAAAAAGGACTCTGCTTCGTTCAAGGACTGGGTATAGAAAGCAGGGAGGGCAGGGGGTAGCAATAAACAGGGAAGGGAATACTGGGGTTGCCCATGGAAACTGGCAGGAATAAGAAAAATAATCAGCCCACATTTGACAGAAGAGAAAAGCACAGCTCTGGCCCTCAAAGGAGACAGCCAGCAGGGAGGATGGGGACCAAGCAATGCCAGTTTCCTGGCTCGGGCTACCATGCATCTTTTCAGGACCTACTGCCAGTTGGCAAGAGGTGGCGTGGGGGGCCATGGAGGGGTCGGGGAGGGGGAAGGCAGCACGGAGGAGAGTTGAAGAGCCACTCACTCGACTGTTTCCCAGAAAGTGAAGGCGCCAAGCAGCCCTCGCGCTCTCAGGACACCTCCCCTCTGCTTCCGTCCAGGAAAGAGCCCAAGAGGATTGTCCAAGGCCTCACCTGGGTAAAGGAGCCGTCCTCGCCACACTCTGGGACAAACACAGCTTCCTGAGGCTTCTTGGCTTGCTCCAGGGCTTGAGCCCGCTCCAAGCGACACTTGCTCTGGCCAGCATCTGAAAGGGGAGAGGAGCGGATTTCATATTTCACTTGGATTCGACACAGGGGCCGAGGGACAAAATGGCTGAGAAAACCACTCCACCTGTGCGGGAGCCCACACACAACCAACTGGCTTCTCCAAGCCTGAAAGGGCTGTGGCTAGGGGCTGCTGCACAGCCCCCCTTCCCTGCATGTCAGTCACAGAAAAGTGGAGGAGTCATGTTTTTCCCAAGTTCTGCCTGTCTTTTCTCCCAAGTACCTCTACCCTCGCCCCATAGAAAATAAAAAATGTGTTACTTCCATGATTTTTCACTGGGTTTATTCTAAAAGTAGTAAGCCCAATGGGGGTTCAACTATGTCTTATGGTTCAAGAATTGCAAGTATTTTCTTTAGAAAATCAGAGGCTCTAGCACAGCCTGCTTAGCCACCTACAATTCCTGGGATGGCTCTAAGCAGTCCGGGACTACAAATTCAAATATGTTCAGGATTCAGGAAAAAGATACAAATTAGAGAAACCAGCTGGATATGAGAAGAATGACACTCAGTTCTGAGAGGCTACAGGGAGTGCTGTAAGACTGTGGCAAACTGGAGAACAGGCTCCCCTTTAAAGGGGTAGCTGTTATGCAGGTCTAGTCATGTGTTGCTTTGTAGGAACACAGATCTAATGTTACCAGACTTTCCAATTTTGGAACAGAAGGACAAAAAGCAAGATTTTTTTTCACTGAATCTCCCAATTTTTAAATGTTATCCCAAATGTTTTTTGCTGTTTTTAAACAGGCAAGGAGACCAAACAAAACATATCTGTTGGCCAACAATTTGGAATCACTATTTGGGAGCCAGCAATAATGTCTTGCCGTTTTAAGCATCTCCATAAAAAGAAAAAGGAAAGCACTCGCCAGATAGCAGCACATCTCTTTAAGCCCTAGCTTGGGGGCAGTGTGTGAAAGACAGAAAAATGCTCATTCCTTCAGGTAGACCAGGCCTTCTTCCTTCCACTCTGGTGGAAGGGGTGGAGAGACAGGAAAGCAAAGTGAGTAGACAGATTTATTCCAAGCTCCCCTGCTGCAAATGCACAGTGAGGGAGCTGGGGTGCCCAGGAAACTCTCCTTGGCTGGGCAGGGGGTGCACACACTCACCTTTGCATCTACCTCGATGCACCACGCCCAGGGTCTGGTCTCGGCACTTGGCTCGCTGGTACTCACACATGGACTCATAGGACCTGCCATCAGAGGCACAGATGGGTTTGGGTTGAGTCCTGGAGCAGTGGAGGTTGCACTGAGGGTCACGGTCACTTATTAGAAACTAGGTTGGAAAAAAGTGAAAGGGTACAGAGGTTACTTTTGCAAGAAAAGTAGGGGTGAGTCCATGACTTACAGTACTTGTTTGCCTTTAGAAAGTAAGTCCCGAATAAACTCAAATAAAACCCTGAAAGTCAAGGGAACGGAGCAGCCACAAAGTCTAACCAAGGAAGGCATCATCTATGCCTCATACGAACAATAATGTCTAACAATTACTGCCCATTAACAGGCACTGTGCCAGGTAATTCGCATCCAGGACCTCAGTCCTCACAACAACCCTATGAAATAGGAACTCTATTCTGTAGACAAGGAAACCGAAGCCCAGAGACATAACTTGCCCAGTGTCACACAGCTATAAGAAGTGGAGGCTGAATTAGAATCTAAATCTGTCAGAAGTAAAGTCAAAGCTTTACCCTCTAGGATGTCCAGCCTCTCCATCCATGCAGACAGCCATGCAGCCTCTATTTGGGTGCATCCTCAAATCAGGAACACACTCTCAATCTCCAAATTCCATCTCGGGAAAGTTTCATTTATTAGATGGTATTGAGCTCCAAATCTATCCTCCCTCCAATTTTTGCCCATCTCTCTCTGGCAGAATACAAGTTAAATAATTTTCTGTGAGAAACAGATTTCCTGATTTTTAAAATAACAATAATCAGCATGGAAAATATTGAGTTAAGCAGATTTTCTTGGTGAAGGGCTTCTCAGGTGACTCTAATACATTCTTATGCATTGTGAACCTCCAAGACATATAGTAAATTAAAGATAGCTACAAATTATTTGCTACTCCTCTCATTGAGCTATGGAGTCTAATTTCTTCTCCCTTGAATCTGGACTGGCCTCAGGAACTTGCTTGACCAAGAAAATGCTATGGGAGTGGTGTCTGGGGACTTCAAAGTTAGGTTACACGAAGCCTTGCAGCTCCTACCTGGGCCTCTTGTAATACTCACTCTTGAGGAAACCAGCTGCCGTGTAAGAAGCCTAACAACCCTGAGACCATCATACTATGAGGAAGCCCAAGTTTACATATGTCAAAACTATGCAGAGAGAGAAATGCCCAACCAGCCCAAGCACAGAGACATGTTGAGTGAAGAAGCCTTCAGGTGAGTCTAATCCCAGCTGTCATCTAATTGCAACTCACAGAGATGAAAATAAACAATTGCATGAGAGACCCCAACTTCAGAACCACCCAGCTGAGCCCAGTTAACCCACAGAACTGAGAGAGAGTATAATAATAAATTGTTTTAAGCCTTTATGTTTTGTGGTAGTTTGTTACACAACAATCAACCAGATCAAGGGGCATATACAATGAAGGATCTTCCAAAGTTACTTAACCATGAACCCCTATATCAGGGAACCCTCTGTTAACAACAAAAGAATACAGTTGGAAAACAATAATTGGGCTATTACAATCCGTGAGCTTCTGTTCAATGACTCACGGTTAGACTGTACGGGCCTTGAGACCTGGGTCCACTCTTATCTACTCCCATATAGCAGAGTCCTGGGCACACAGAATGAGGCTCTTCATCAGACTGGGTTGAGGGAATGAATGTCCCACAATAATGAATGGCAATGTCATGAGCACACATCAGGCTATTGGTAATGGTAGAGATGACTATGTAATCAAATCAAACTCGTAGAGGTTTTGGGAAGGCGTGAATATAAGCTCTGTCTCAGACGTATTTGTGGGCCCTTTGTGTGAAGCAAACAGATGAGAACTTGTTGACCCTTTTCCAGAACAGCAGAGAAAGTTTCAGAGGTAGTACCACACCCTTCAAGGGAGTACCGGAAACACACATCCCACACTGGCCAAAATCAAAGAGGACCTGAACCTGTCCATAAACACACAGACTACATCCCAGCTATAAAACCAGTCCCCCCTTGGGACTGGACCTCATGCCTGGGTGCTGGCTGCCTAGCACAGGGACAGAGCAGCTAAGGGCTGAAACCACTGCACAGGACTTGTCCAAATGGACAGTGAAACTGCGCTTTCTCTTCAGACACCTTCGGCAAGGTCACACCTGAATCTTGCCCAGGGCCCAAAGGGAAATATCCAGATAGTGTCTCGTGAGCACAGCATTTGATAGAGTCCGGTGTTCAGGGGTAAAAAATAAATAACTCAGATCATCGTCTCCAGAGGAAGCCCACCGCCTCCAAGGCTGCCCCACAGAAGAGGGGTGAGCTGACAGGGGGAAGTGGGAGAGTACATCATTGTTCAGTCAAGCCCTGCACATGACCCCCAGCCTCAACCCCCTTCGAGCTGCCCCTGCTTTAAACCTGCGAGCCGTGTCCCACTGCTCGGGGACCCTTACATCGTCTCCTGGGCCTGGTGAGAATTGGACCCAAGGGCCCCTCGCTAGCCCTCTGCTCTCTCTTCCTTGCTCTCCCTTGCTCCCTGCTGGTGGGGCACACAGGCCTTCCCATTTCTCAGATGAGCTACCTCTGCTGCTACCTCCAGGCCTTCAGGCACACTGTTCCTTCTCCATTCCCTCCCACCCTGCTTTGGATTTTGGCTCAGGCGGTCTCTTCCGGGAGGCCCTGCCTGACTCTCCCAGGTGAGGATGATATCCTGTAATACTCCCTCATACTTCATTTTTCTTTCATGGCTCTTCACACAATTTGTAATGAAGAATTCATTTGTGTGATTTGGTTACCAGTGGAATCCCCAACTCTGAGCTCCATGAAGATGAGAACAATGTCCGCTTTGCCTGTGAACACCTCCCCCGGGCATCTAGCACAATCCTGGGGCCCTCCATCATGTGTGGGAGGAGTGCAGCCCTGTAGCAGCATCTCCCACATGCCATTCCTTCAACACCACTGCCAATGGGACGTCACGGGCCTGGCTTTCTGGGCTCCTGCCTCCCCTGGGGATCACCAGGGCCACTCCTCATGCTCCCATGCTTTTGAGCCTTGCCATCCTCAGCCATGTTCTCCCATCGGACTTCTGCATTGCACGTGGGCAGAAGTGGCCCAGAGCCTGCCACCTTTACTCCACCTCAGAACAAGAACTCTCATCAGGAGCTGGGCCTGCCCTGCCTGGAGGGCAGGGCTGTCTCACCTGGATGTTCAGCATCTGGTGTCTGGCACACAGAGTAGGCGCTTGGTCAACAGTTTTTGACTTTGTAAAGTCCTTTTTGCAAGTGGGCCAGTGTTTCTGTTTGTTATAATGAAAGGCAGTGGGACCTAGTGATTAGAAGCTCAGCTCTGGAGCCCAGCAGTCGGTGTCAGTACCAGCACCAGCACCCACATGCTATTTAACCTCGGGAACGTTGCCTTGCTTCTCTGGGCTTTTAGTTTTCTCATCCATAAAATGAGAGTAGTAACAAGCCTTGCCTCATAGGGTGGTGCGAAGATTCAATTATTAACATATCCTAAGTCACGTATAAGTTCTTGTTCATCTTCTTTCTTTGGAATTTAAGAGAAGCGGGGCATGGTTTAAGAGAACACACAGAAAAAAGAGGGAGAGGAAGACAAAGTTTCTTTTCAAACCCACTGAGGCTGCCTAGTTGCCTATGCTGTAGCTCATGGGACAGGAGAGCTGCCAACATCCCCGTGAAGTTGAACTGCAGGCCAAAAAATCGGTTTGAAAATGGATTGCTCTATGCCAAGAGAGAGGCCACAGCAGCTGTGCTGGAGACCAGCTTCCTAACAAGGGGAATACTCTGTCTACAAACAGACAGGTTAAAGAACTTCAGAGGCCCCACCCATGCCAACACACAGAGATCATTCTCAGCTTCAGAAGAGCACCCAAAATATTCCTGTCTAGAAATTACTGGTCCCTAAGCCCAAATAAAAAGTTCGGAGACAGCATGGGGTCATTGACAATCTTCAGTCAACTATGGTGTCACATTTTCATCTGTTTTAGGAACTGTGTATATTTGTGATTGTTTTCACACACATGAAAAAAATGAGTTCTATAAAATGGAGCTTTAACCAGATGACTAAGCCCTAATAAGATCACCCAAACCTCCAGGGCCCCAAAGGGATTATTCTGTGTCCACAAACACTGAGGATGAGGTAACACTCCAGTTCGTCCCTTCATCTGTTCATCTGCTCTTTACTCAATAAGTGATCACCAACAGTGAGCCCAACACTGTACCAGCATAGGAAGCAATACGTAACCAACATGGTACCCACCCTCAGTGAGCTTACCATTTGGGGTGGAGGCAAGGAGCATGTTAACAGGACACCAAGGAGCTATTAAGATAGAGGCAATAAGAGAAGGCTTAATCCTAGAGACTCTGGAATGCTCCAAAGCCACACAGTCCAACAGAACTTCTCACTGTGATGGACATGTTCTATATCTGTGCCATCCAATACAGCAGCCACAAACCACATGTGGCTATTAAGCACTGCAATGTAGCTAATGCAACTGGGAAATCAAATATTTAGTTACGTTTAATTTTAGTTAATTTAAGTTTAAATGACCACATGTGGCTAGTGGCTACCGTATGCAACAGCCCAGTTATAAAGTAAACAAACCAAGAGGAGACGAGAGAGGAGAGAGCATAGTCTCCAACTGAATTTTTCTCAGTTGAGCCAGGTGAAGACTGATTGAGAGAAAAAGAGAAAAAAGAAAAAGAAAAAAGAAGCTGATCTGGAGAATAATTTCTGCATTTTGAAATTAGATAGTATATTAGGCTATTCTTGCATTCCTATGAAGAAATACCTGAGGCCAGGCATGGTGGCTCTAACCTGTAATCCCAGCACTTTGGGAGGTCAAGGAGGGAGGATTGCTTGAGCCCAGGAGTTCAAGACCAACCTGGGAAACATAGAGAGACCCTGTCTCTACAAAAAATTTAAAAATTAGCCAGGCATAGTAATGCATGTCCATGGCCCTAGTTACTTGGGAGGCTAAGATGGGAGGATCACTTGAGCTGGGAGGTGAAGGCTGCACTGAGCCATGATGGTACCACTGTACTCCAGTCTGGGTGACAGAATAAGAATAAAAGAAAAGAAAAGTAAAGAGGGAGGGAAGGAAGGGAAAGGAAAGAAGGAAGGAAG